AATCAAAACTTCTATATATCTGAAAACTATTTTGACAAACCAAGCTGCAGAAAACCAGGTTTAGAATTAAAATCATATGTCTTATGATTAAAGTCTGAAAATAAAAATAATAAAGAATGCCTTCTTTCTATAACCATTATTATTCTTATCCATTGTAATAAAGAACTACAAACTGCTCCAGATACCTAGAAATCAGTACGCTGCAATACGGATAAACACGAGTCAAAATTCTTCTAATTTAAGAGCATTGAACGATTATCGAATGAGCATTAAATATAAAAAAATTACACAAATTATTAAAATAAAATTGGAAAAACAGACTATTAAAACCCAAACAGGACAATTAAAAAAAGAACAACAAACTCCAAGATCAAAACTAGCAAGAACCAGATAAAACCACTACATCATAAGACCAATGTAACAAAGGATAAAAAATAGAGAATATTTAAAAATTTGAATATCAAAGAAGGAATTGTGTTCATATCTACCTATATATTATATTTCCTATTACATCTCTTGTAACACCAGAGGAAATAAGGAAGATTGAATCAGAAGGAATTGTGTTCATATATACCAATATATTACATCTCATGCCTTACTAAGAGAAACCAAATTCCTGTGACGCCCACATAGAACTCGTAAAAGAATCAAAAAAACTAATCGTCAAGGAATCAATCAGAGGAGAGATCACCACATGAAAGAACAACAACAGCAGCAAATTGCAGATTCTGGTGCTCCAAATTGCAGATTCTGTGAGCGATACTCATTTGGCAAGAAAATTCTAATTCTTTTGCTTATTTATATATAATAAATTGAAAAGAAAATAGGGGAAATAATTTTAACATGAAAAATACCCCAAACAATAGAATGCCAAACCATGTTGTCCAAAATTCCTCAACCTCCCTATGATGTAAGATGTAATTTAGAACTTTGTATGCTTCATATTCACGTTCCTGATGCAGAAACAGGAAATCCCCAACTATAGCAAGACATGCCATCAAAGAAAAAAACTATCACAAATCCGAAAACTTATGCACATACATAAGTAATAATATAATAATCAATTTCTTCCCAGGCTGAAAACTATGTATGCGAACATCTTCTTGGCACAGGTTCCATAGCAAATCACAAGGGACAAAGGCAAGTATGGAAAAGACTGAAATGTGAAGCTGTGAGTAAAGATGACCAAATTAAGGCCTAGCAACAGGATGGACTATGAAATATAAGACACGGCATGCAAAAGATGATGATTCAGTGGAACAAATTTCCATCCTAATACAGAGGAGTACCTTGACCACTGCAAGAAAGAGGATATTTTTCAAAGTATAATATAATCATTCTTAGAAATCACATGACAATAAAAAGAATTTTAAAAAAATAGTAAAAGAAGATTACAGTTACAAAGCCCAAGGTATAAAGGAAATGAAAACAATTCAACTCTATAGAAGAAATGAAATGAAAACAATTCACAATTTAAGAGATCCACCAAATAAACATATAACAATGAGAATATATATGGCACATCCAATTACCGATTGGTGTCAGTGAAAAGACAAATATTTATACTTCTTCAGTGTGTCGAATACCATTTTGCCGGAGAAGATTTTTAAATATTATAACAAAGGAAGTGAGGGATACCCATTAAGGAGAGAATTTTAATTGTTAGTATGATATATCACATTTAATAAGTGCCAAACACTGCAGAATATCATCAAATTGTTAGCAGAGCAACTATTCCAAAACATAAAATAAGTGCCAAACACTGCAGAATATCATCAAATTTTAGACATGAAGGTAATCCTAGCCTCCCTGCAAAATGGATAAGAGTCTGGAAAAGTCGTTCTCCATTCTTATCCATTGCATCAAGAATCCCAAATTGCTGCAAAACCATCCCTTATCCATTGCATCAAGAATCCCAAATTGTTGCAAAACAAATAAATGAATATCTTGATTATCCAATGAATAATTATATCAAAATATTTCTCATTTTTCTTAATTTGTGTGAAATAATGTACTAAATCACTCATTATGGGACGAAAGTAGTAATCAGTCTTTCATAATCTCTATCAAAGCTTCAAAGTCCAGCAGATATCAAAAGAATAAACTCAAACATAATCGCAAGAATCAACAGTACTAAGCAGATCTTGAACTAATTAGGAAACCAAACCAGAGGATCAGGTTTGTTGTGTAACGATTCTAGTGAAGGATTATACCAACCACCAACAAACGGTCAAAAAGGAGTGACAGATCATGAAGACTCTATATAAGGACAACAGAGGAAATGAAATATAATTCACAATTTAAGTTTAGCGTACCAAATTTAACCTGAAGCTTAGTACTACACTTTAAATTATTGTTTCTAAATAGACTACATGCTTTAAACAATTCAGATTTCAAACCAAATTTAACATGAAGCTTAGTACTACACTTTAGATTATTGTTTCTAAATAGACTACATGCTTTAAACAATTCAGATTTCAATTCACTAGTATGGCAATAAAAAAAATTAACATCAGAACTCCAGCATGTAGAAGACCTGATGCAATTAATATTTAGGATTTAGTATTGAAGACGACTTCCGTAATAAGACTTCCTGTGGTGGTCAGAGAGGGTACCTGCAAAATGTTAGCACTCCGACGCTCAAGTTAGCTCAAGTTAATATATGAATGAGATATAGAATTTTACAAATGAGTAAAGTAATACCTGATAGTGACAGAGTCACTTATATAGACAATTATAATTAACTACAGTTTGGCTTACGTGAAGTGCAGGCAACCAGTAATTCTAGATCCTCGGTTGACAGGGAAAGGAATCAAATTTTTGTACATTGTCCAGTTGTCATTTCTTGTACATTGTCCAATGAATGATGATTCACCTATACACACTCTTACTAGATTGGACCAAAAGATTGGGCAAATCTTTTAGACTTTTTACCAGCCCAAAAAAAACCCAAATGTGCCAAAGAAAATATTCATCATTATCGAAAGCCTCAACCACAGCTGTTCATCCTACAAATGAAAAGTTTTCTAAGAATCTTGCTTAATTAATCCTGGCAGGTCAGACAATCAAAATAACTGAAAAAGTACACAAATAGAAAAAATGACCAGTTCTGTCACAAGGTTGTGGTAAATCTCAGCAGCCACTTTAACAGCCAACTTTTAGGACCTATAACACCGAACACGAACACAACACATCCTCTCCTGGTCGTAATAACACTAAGAAGAGATATACTTGGCATTTTTGAATTCCTTTGATTTTTTTGATAAGATATTTTCCTTTGAAATATAGTTATAACTTGTCATGTAAGAAAAGTTTGTCTCTGAATTGTTTAAATAATACCTGTAGTGATAACAGATTAAGAAATACATTAAAATTACAGAGTAGTTTAAATAATAACCGAAGTGATAACACTAAGAAATACATTATTTATATACAAATAGAGATCTTTAGATTAAAATCTAGAAATAATGAGAATAAATATATGACACAACCAACAAAATATTTATATTTGGAACAATTGTTATCAAATTGCAGATTTTGGAGCTCAATATAACCACAATTTACCAAATAGAGGAGACTTTGCCAAATGTGCCAAAGAAAATATTCATTGAAAACGAAAGCCTCAACCACGCTGTTAATCCCATAAATTAAAGGTTTTCTACAGAATCTTGCTTAATTAATCCTGACAGGTCAGACAATCAAAAGATAACTGAAAAAGTACACAATTAGAAGAAAAAAAATGACCAGTTCTGTCACAAGGTTGTGGTAAATCTGAGCAGCCACACTAACACCGATGATAAAAATCATAGAGAATTAAAATTGCACATTCTTAGAAACAATGACTGCATTGTACTGCGTGAATCGAAATCCTTAGAAAATGTCTTGCAGTTTGCAGAACATGATGATTCCAATAATGAACTCTGGTGCCCAATGAAATCCTATTCCTATATATCGTAAATAACAGAAACAAACGGTAAAAGGGTACAAGAATAACTCTCATTAGAAGTAGATCATCAAATCAAACACCCCCACACATTGATGAAAAACAGAGAAGGTATCGAGAAGAGATATACAGGTAAGTTAACAACAATTGTCATTGTCATAATATTAAACAAACCAAGGCTTGTTGCTACAAAGAAATTAATTGTTTCAACACAGTAAGCCTGATCAAAACCAAGTGTCACGAACTCACATGTCCAATAACTCACACAGGACCTTTTTTAATATTCGAAGAGAAAACACCTCAGTTCGTTTTTTAAAACTGCCTACAGTTGATCAATATTTTCGAAACCTGCAAATAGAACCCGAAGAAATCATGTTGTAAATAATGACCCATTTTATCATAAGGCTCAAAGGACGTCCTTGACAATCTCGCCACAGTTTTCACAGTCCATATACCTGTGATACCCACAAAGTATAGATCACCAAATTAAAACGTAATAACTGTGAGCCAATTGCAGATTGATGCTCCATGTGAAACAGAAAAAAAATTATTTGGGCTTTCTCCACTTTGACAAATATCCATTTGGGAGAAAATATTTTTACTCTTATATATAACACAAATGACAAGAATGTAGTAAAATAATTACAACAACGGAAGTGGCAAACAATCAGAAAAAAAAAGTGAGCTAAACCAAGTTGTCAAGAATTCATTGGCTCAGGCAGAAATATGTACTCTATCTAGTCTAGAATCTTGTATGCTTAATTACCATGCTCCTGCTACAAAAATACCAAAAATCCAACATTCCCAGAACACACCATCAAAAAAATACAGATACATATAAAAGAAGGGCTATATCCCAATGTTGGTGGAAGAGTAGTATGTTAACCTTTGTTTCCACAGGCCACAATATACAACTTTCATATGTTGACTCAGTCTCCCAGATAACTCGCAAAAAAATCAAAGGAATTCAAAATTGAGTATCAAACACACTGAAATGTAAATTGTTATTCTTAGTAGAAATGACCAAATTAAGAAGTACACAACCTCTGAAGACGTGATGGTTAATGGACACAAACTTCCAGCCAATTTGCAAGTACTTATACCCAATATGAAACATGACAATTTGAGCTTCCACCTAATACCAAAGGAGCTATTGGGCCTACATCATAAACCAGAAATAACAACAGACCCCAGGTAACAGATCGTCAAAACGTACCTAAACAAGTTGTCCAAACTAGATCCTAGAAAATATATACCCCAGCTAGCAAAATCAGTATCCTTCTTTATACATTCACCTTTATTCTTTCACCAAAGATAATTTATACAAAGCAGCAGAGACACTTGTCTCCAATTTCTCCACCATAGACCAACTAAAAAGGCGGGAGTCTGATTCAAAATTAAGAAAACTTTTGTTGGACAGCAAACTTACTCTTAGCAACAGACGATAAATGCAGAAAAATCAAACTGTGGTAGATAGGTTGTTGAAAAAGAACCAAGAAGAAAAGAAAGAATATAGCATAATTCTCCAAACCAAGTTGCAGATCAGTATAACAGAGAGCGGCCCACAAACTTTTCCGAATGTCTCCAAAATTATGTAAACTTGTACTTTCTCAATACAAAAACGCAAATGTAGAACTAGTATTCACGTTAAGAACCCTTAAGACTGAACTTCTCAAACATCAATAGACTAATCAAAACAAAAACATCAAATTGGAATTCATAGTAATAAATAAGAAGATTAGACTAATAGAATCGGAAAAGTAGAAATCAATTGAAAAAAATCCAAGTACCAAAATAAAAGCTTGATACTACGCATAATACACTACACTGCAAAAAAAAAAGCGCAATATTTCAATTCACATGTATGGCGCGATAAAAGCCAGAACTAAATCAAACCCTCAGAATCAAAAAAACCTAAAGGAATGAGAATACAAAACATGAAGAATAATATGCTTACAAACTACCTTTCCTGGAAGACCAAATGAAATTAAAGATAAAAAATAATATGCCTAAAAGGAATAAAAAAATTACTGAAAAGTAGGAGATTATAAAAGAGATCACCAAATCAAAACTCACGCTCCATGGTATATATTGAAAATTATTTTGACAAACCCAAGCTGCAGAAAAAACAGGTTTAGAATTAAAATCATATGTTTTGTGATTAAAGTCTGAAAATAAAAATAATAAAGGAAGACTTCTTTCTATAACAATTATCGTTCTTATCCATTGTAATCAAGAATTGCAAACTGCTCCATACACCTAGAAATCGGCTTGCTGCAATACATATAAAGACGTGTCAATATTCTTTTAATTTAAGAGCATTAAACAATTATCAAATGAATCATTATATAAAAAACTACACAAATTATCAAAATAAAATTGGAAAAACAGTCTATTAAAACCCAAACAGGGCCATTAAAAAAGAACAGCAAACTCCAAGATCAAAACATAAGACCAATGTATCCAAGGGGAAAAAAAGAGACTATTTGAAAACTTGAATATCAAAGAAGAGAAAGAGACTACATATATATTATATTTCCTATTACATCTCCTGTAACACAAGAGGAAATAAGGAAGATCGAACCAGTAGGAATTGTGTTCATATATACCAATATATTACACCTCATGCCTTACTAAGAGAAACCAAATCCCTGTGATGCCCACATAGAACTCGAAATAGAATCAAGAAAACTAATTGTAAAGAATTCAATCAGAGGAGAGATCACCACATGACAGAACAACATCAGCAAATTGCAGATTCTGGTGCTCCAATTGCAGATTATGTGAGGGACACTCATTTGGGAAAGAAAATTCTTACGTTGAAATGAAAATAGGAGAAATAATTATAACAAGGCAAATACCCCCAAACAATAGAATGCCATACCATGTTTGTCCAAAACTCCTCAACCTCCCCAAGAAGTAAGATGTAATTTAGAACTTCGTATGCTTCATATTCACATTCTTGGAGAACTCCAACTATAGCCGGACCTTTTTTTAGTATTCGAAAAGAAACACCTCACTTCGTTTTTTAAAACTGCCACAGTCTATCAATATTTTTGGACTTGCCACCCACAGAGATTGAGTAATCTTTCACCTTATTTGGACTTAAGGGTGTTTTGTAACTAGACTGCATTCATATAATGGCTTTTAGAGCTTTTCAAAAATTCAATTTTGAATCATATGACAAGCCAATGTCCAATGTTTTATGAAATACGAGTTCAAATATTGTGAAATCAATAGTTTTGGACTAGCCACCTAGAGATTGAGTAGTCTTTCACCTTATTTTGACTTAAGGGTGTTTTGTAACTAGACTGCATGCATTCACATTATGGGTTTTAGAGCTTTTCAAAAAATCAAATTTGAATCATATGACAAGCCAATGTCCAAATGTTTTATGGAACACAAGTTCAAATAAAGTGGAACTACTTTAGCCAAGAAAACAACATACCAGCTATTTCAGAGTAGAGTTATAGGTAAGCCAAATGAAAACTGATGTATTGAAGGTGATAAAATAAAAGAACAAATTCCAAAATTGAAACCCGCAAATATAACCAGAATAAATCATGTGGTAATAATGACCTGTTTTATTCTAAGGCTCAAAGGATGTCCTTGATAATCTCGCCTCGCCACATCTTTCACAGTACATATACTCCCTGTGACAGCACACAATATAGATCACCAAATGAAAACATAATAACTGATAATATATGCCACAGCCAGTTGCAAATTGATGCGCGATGTGAAGCGGAAAAATTTGGGCTTCCACACTTCAACAAATATCCATTTGGGAGAAAAGATTCTTATTCTTATACATAAGACAAATGACAAGAATGTAGTAAAATAATTACAACAATGGAAGTGGCAAACAATCAGAAAAAAAAGGGAGCTAAACAAAGTTGTCAAGAATTCATTGGCTCTGGCAAAAAATTGTACTCTGGTCTAGAATCTTGTATGCTTCAATACCATGCTCCTGCTACAAAAAACCAAAACACCAACACTCCCCGATATAAAAAAACAGATATCATAAAAAAGAAGGGATCACAACGTTGGAAGAATAGTATGTTAACCTCATTACCTCAGGCCACAACACACCACTTTCATATGTTGTCTCGGTCTCCCAGATAACACTCGCAAAAAAAAAAAAGGAATTCAAAAAGTGCCGAGCATCAAACACACTGAAATGTAAATTGTCTTTCTTAGTAGAAATAACCAAAATAAATAATACAACACAACCTCTAAAGACATGATGGTTAATGGACACAAACTTCCAGCCAATTTGCAAGTGCTTATACCCAATATGAAACATGACAGTTTGAGCTTCCACCTAATACAATACCAAAGGAGCTATTGGGACTACATCATAAATCAGAAATAACAACATATCCCAGGGAATTATGGTGCCCGATGAAATCCTTAGAGGAATCGAATTCCTATTCTTATATATCATAAATAAGAGAAACAAACAGTAAAAGAGTACAAGAATAACTCTCTTTAGAGGTAGCTCATCAACTCAAGCACGCCTACAAATTGATGAAAAATAAAGGTAGCGAGAGTAGTTAACAGTAATTGTCAATCTCACCAAATTAAACAAACCAAGGCTATGCTACAAAGAAATTAATTGCTTCAACAAAGTAAGCCTGATCAAAACCAAGTGTCAGAAACTCACATGTCCAATAACTCCCACAGGACCTTTTTTAATGTTCGAAAAGAAACACCTCACTGTTTTTTAAAACCGCCGACAGTATCAATATTTTTGGACTGGTAATTTGAGATTGAGTTATCTTTTACCTTATTTTGATTTAGAATATCAATACAGAAATCAAGAAACATATAACAGGCCGGTGTCCAATGCTTTATGAAAAACAAGTTCAAACAAAGTGGAACTACTTTAGCCAAGAAAACAACATACAGCTGTTTCAGAGTAGTTATTGGTAAGCCAAATGAAAACCGATATATCGAACGTGATAAAAGAAGAACGAATTCCAAAACTGAAACCCGCAAATAGAACCCGAAGAAATCACATGGTAAATAATGACCTGTTTTATCTTAAGGCTCAAAGGATGTCCATGATAAGATAATCTTGTCACAGCTTTCACAGTCCATATACTCCCTGTGACACCACAAAGTATAGATCACCAGATAAAAACATATTAACTGTGATAATATATGTCACAGCAATTGCAGATTGATACTCCATGTGAAACATTAAAAATTTGGGCTTCCCTACTTCGACAAATATCCATTTGGGAAAAAAGATTTTTACTCTTATATATAATACAAATGACAAGAATCTAGTAAAGTAATTATAACAAAGTAAGTAGCAGACAATCAGAAGAATAAAAAGTGAGCTAAACCAAGTTGTCAAGAATTCATTGGCTCAGGCAGAAAGTTGTGCTCTAAACTAGAATCTTGTATGCTTCAATACCATGCTCCTGCTACGAAATACCAAAACTCCAACACTCCCATAACACACCATCAAAAAATATATAGATATCATAAAATAAAGGGTTGTATCTCAACGTTGGAAGAATAGTATGTTAACCTCTGTTTTCACAGGCCACAGACCGCCACTTTCATAGGTTGTCTCCGTCTCCCCTATAACACTCACGGAAAAATCAAAGGAATTCAAAATTGCCAAGCATCAAACACTATGAAATGTAAATTGTCTTTCTTAGTAGAAATGACCGAATTAAAGAATACAAGCTTTTGTATAGTATACAACACAACCTCTGAAGACATGATGTTAATGGACACAAACTTCCAGCCAATTAGCAAATACTTGTACCCAATATGAAACATGACAGTTTGAGCTTCCACCTAATACCAAAGGAGCTATTGGACCTACATCATAAACTTGAAATAACAACAGACCCCAGGAAACAGATCGTCAAAACATACCTAACCAAGTTGTCCAAATTAAATCCTAGAAAACATATACCAATTTATTACATCTTATGCCTTACTAAGAGAAATCAAATCCCTGTGACGCCCCACACAGAACTCGTGAAAGAATCAAGAAAACTAATTGTGAAGAATTCAATCAGAGGAGAGATCACCACATGAAAGAACAACAGCAGCAGCAAATTGCAGATTCTGGTGCTCCAATTGCTGGTCCAATTGCAGATTCTGGTGCTCCAATTGCTGGTCCAATTGCAGATTCTGTGAGGGACACTCATTTGGGAAAGAAAATTCTTACTCTTAAAGCTTATATATAATACATTGAAAAGAAAATAGGGGAAATAGTTATAACAAGGCAAATACCCCCGAACAATAGAATGCCAAACCATGTTGTCCAAAATTCCTCAACCTCCCTCTAAGATGCTAAAATGCAAAAGAGCAATCATTTAAAACCTTAACTTCCAAAGGTCAAAACTAACAAAAAACCAAATCAAACCTAAGAATCAAGAAATAAAAAAATCAACAGCCATGAATGCAGATCAAACAAGAGGAAAATAGAACTAGAAGAAATTGTGTATATCCTGCAACACCAATCGATAAATAAATATTGAAAATAAAAAGAATTTAATAAAGATCACCAAATCAGAAATCAAAACGCTAAGCTCCATGCTGTGAAAAAGGTTATTAGTTGGACAACCACACTGCAGAAAAACAAGTTCTGAAATCAATTTGTATGCGTTGCCAAGTATCAAACACACTGAAAAGTAAATTGTCTTTCTTAGTATCAAACACACCACTTTCATAGGTTGTCTATGTCTCCCCCTATAACACTCGCAGAAAAATCAAAGGAATTCAAAAGTGCCAAGTATCAAATACGCTGAAAAGTAAATTGTCTTTCTTAGTAGAAATGACCAAATTAAAGAATACAACACAACCTCTGAAGACATGAATGTCAATGGACACAAACTTCTTGTACCCAATATGAAACATCACAGTTTGAGCTTTCGCCTAATACCAAAGGAGCCTACATAATAATTCAGAAATAACAACAGACCCCAGGGAACAGATCTTCAAAATGTACCTAACCAAGTTATCCAAATTAAATCCTAGAAATACGTACCGAACCCTTCTTTATTTTTTACCTTCTTTATTCTTTCACCAAAGGTAATTTATACAAAGCAGTAGAGCTTTTAGAGCTTTTTAAAAATTCAATTTTGAATCATATGACAAGCCAATGTCCAATGTTCTATGAAACTTTTAGAGGAGAGTTATTGGTAAGTCAAATGAATACTGAGACCCACAAACTTTTCCGAATGTTTTTGCACTTTCTCAATACAAAAACCCAAATGTAGAACAAATCAAAACTCGACTCAGGGCTGCTATGGAGTACATTTTTAAGAAACCACAGTGCAGAAAAATAGATTCATAATTCACTGCATATTTCTATCGAGTATCAATCAAAATTAACATAGAAGGATTCATTTCAGAAATTTGATTTATATGATATTCTCGGTTATTATTTTGGGAATTAAAAATTGCTGAATTTTGATTTATATGATATTCTCGGTTATTATTTTGGGAATTAAAATTCAAGAATGGTTCTGAAATGCAGTATTCAACTTGCTGAACATCAAATAGATTCTTAATACCGCTGAAAAAACTTATCAGCAGTAAATGAGAAAGTTATAGTAGAACTATTTGAAATATAGTTATAACTTGTCATATAATAAAAGTTTGTCTCTGAATTGTTTAAATAATAACTAGTGATAACAGATTAAGAAATATATTAAAATTAGAGTAGTTTAAATAATACCCGAAGTGATATCACATTAAGAAATACATTATTTATATACAAATAGAGAACTTCAGATTAAAATCTAGAAATAATGAGAATAAATATATGAAACAACCAACAAAATATTTATATTTGGAACAATTGTTATCAAATTGCAGATTTTGGAGCTCAATATAAACCATAACTTACCGAATAAAGGAAGGAGACTGCCAAATGTGCCAAAGAAAATATTCATTGAAGGTTTTCTACAGAATCTTGCTTAATTAATCCTGACAGGTCAGACAATCAAAAGATAATTGAAAAAGTACACAAATAGAAAAAAATGACCAGTTCTGTCACAAGGTTGTGGTAAATCTGAGCAACCGCTATAACACCGATGATAAAAATCATAGAGAATTAAAATTGCACATTGTTAGAAACAATGACTGCATTATACTGCTCGAATAGAATTCCTTAGAAAATGTTTTACAGTTTGCAGAACATGATGATTCCAATAATGAACACTGGTGCCCAATGAAATCCTATTCCTATATATCATAAATAACATAAACAAATAGTAAAAGAGTACAAGAATAACTCTCATTAGAAGTAGATCATCAAATCAAACACCGCCACACATTGATGAAAAACAGGGAAGGTAGCTAGAAGAGATATAAGGGTAAGTTAACAGTAATTGTCATTGTCATAATATTAATCAAACCAAGGCTTGATGCTACAAAGAAATTAATTGCTTCAACACAGTAAGCCTGATCAAAACCAAGAACCAAGTGTCACAAACTCACATGTCCAATAACTCCCACAGGACCTTTTTTAATATTCGAAAAGAAACACCTCACTTCATTTTTTAAAACTGCCTACAGTTGATCAATATTTCTGAAACCTGCAAATAGAACCCGAAGAAATCATGTGATAAATAATGACACATTTTATCATAAGGCTCAAAGGACGTCCTTGACAATCTCGCCACAGCTTTCACAGTCCATATACCTGTGATACCCACAAAGTATAGATCACCAAATAAAAACATAATAACTGATAATATATGTCACAGCCAATTGCAGATTGATGCTCCATGTGAAACAGAAAAAATTTATTTGGGCTTTCTCTACTTTGACAAATATCCATTTGGGAGAAAAGATTTTTATTATATACAACACAAATGACAAGAATGTAGTAAAAAAATTACAACAATGGAAGTGGCAAACAATCAGAAAAAAAAGTGAGCCAAACCAAGTTGTCGAGAATTCATTGGCTCAGGCAGAAATATGTACTCTAGTCTAGAATCTTGTATGCTTCAATACCATGCTCCTGCTACAAAAATACCAAAAATCCAACATTCCCAGAACACACCATCCAAAAAATACAGATACATAAAAAAGAAGGGTTGTATCCCAACGTTGGAAGAGTAGTATGTTAACCTCTGTTTCCACAGGCCACAACATACCACTTTCATATGTTGTCTCAGTCTCCCAGATAACACCAAAAAAATCAAAGGAATTCAAAATTTAGTATCAAACACACTGAAATGTAAATTGTCATTCTTAGTAGAAATGACCAAATTAAAAAGTACACAACCTCTGAAGACGTGATGGTTAATGGACACAAACTTACAGCCAATTTGCAAGTACTTATACCCAATATGAAACATGACAGTTTGAGCTTCCACCTAATACCAAAGGAGCTATTGAGCCTACATCATAAATCAGAAATAACAATAGACCCCAGGGAACAGATCGTCAAAACGTGCCTAAACAAGTTGTCCAAATTAGATCCTAGAAAAAGCAGCAGAGACACTTACCTCCAATTTATTTATACATTCACCTTTATTCTTTCACCAAAGATAATTTATACAAAGCAGCAGAGACACTTATCTCCAATTTCTCCACTACAGACCAACTAAAAAGGTGGGAGTCTGATTCAGAATTAAGAAAACTTTTGTTGGACGGCAAACTTACTCTGTTAGCAACAGCCGATAAATGCAGAAAAATCAAACTATGGTAGATAGGTTGTTGAAAAAGAACCAAGAAGAAAAGAAAGAATACAGCATAATTCTCCAAACCAAGTTGCAGATCAGTATAACAGAGAGCGGCCCACAAACTTTTCCGAATGTCTCCAAAATTATGTAAACTTGCACTTTCTCAATACAAAAACGCAAATGTAGAACAAGTAGTATTCACGTTAAGAACCCTGAAGACTAAATTTCACAAACATCAATAGACTAATCAAAACAGAAACATCAAATTGGAATTCATAATAATAAATAAGAAGATTAGACTAATAGAATCGGCAGAGAAGAAATCAATTGAAAAAAATCCAAGTACCAAAATAAACTCGCAGCTTGATACTATGCATAATAAACTGCAAAAAAAAAAAGTGCCATATTTCAATTCACATGTATGGCGATAAAAGCCAGAACTAAATCAAACCTCAGAATCAAAAAAACCTAAAGGAATGAGAATACAAAACATGAAGAATAATATGCTCACAAACTACCTTTCCTGCAAGACCAGATGAAATAAAAGATAAAAATTAATATGTTTCTAAAAGAAATAAAAAATTATTGAAAACTAGGAGATTTTAAAAGAGATCACCAAATCAAAACTCAGGCTCCATGGTATATATTGAAAATTATTTTGACAAACCCAAGCTGCAGAAAAAACAGGTTTAGAATTAAAATCATATGTCTTGTGATTAAAGTCTTCAAAATAAAAATAATAAAGAATGACTCCTTTCTATAACAATAATCGTTCTTATCCATTGTAATCAAGAATTGCAAACTGCTCCATACACCTAGAAATAAGCTTGCTGCAATACGTATAAATACATGTCAATATTCTTTTAATTTAAGAGCATTGAACAATTATCAAATGAAGCATTATATAAAAAACTACACAAATTATCAAAATAAAATTGGAAAAACAGTCTATTAAAACCCAAACAGGGCCACATTAAAAAAGAACGGCAAACTCTAAGATCAAAACCAGCAAGAAGCAGATCAAATCATAAGACCAGTGTAACCAAGGGGAAAAAAAAGAGACTACATATAAACTTGAATATCAAAGAAGAGAAAGAGACTACCTGTATCAAATCACAACGTTAGAAGAATGGTATGTTAACCTCATTACCGCAGGCCACAGCACACCACATTCACATGTTGTCTCAGTCTCCCAGATAACACTCGCAAAAAAAAAAGGAATTCAAAATTGCCGAGTATCAAACACACTGAAATGTAAATTGTCTTTCGTAGTAGAAATGACCAAAACAAAGAATACAACACAACCTATGAAGACATGATGGTTAATGGACACAAACTTCCAGCCAACTTGCAAGTACTTATACCCAATATGAAACATGACAGTTTGAGCTTCCACCTAATACCAAAGGAGCTATTGGGACTACATCATAAATCAGAAACAACAACATATCCCAGGGAATTATGGTGCCTGATGAAATCCTTAGAGAGGTAAGGAATTCCTATTCTTATATATCACAAATAAGAGAAACAAACAATAAAAGAGTACAAGAATAACTCTCTTTAGAAGTAGCTCATCAAATCAAGCACACCTACAAATTGATGAAAAATAAAGCAGGTAGCGAGAAGAGATATACAGGTAAGTGGACAGTAATTGTCAATGTCACCAAATTAAAAGAACCAAGGCTATACTACAAAGAAATTAATTGCTTCAACACAGTAAGCCTAATCAAAACCAAGTGTGAAAAACTCACATGTCCAATAACTCCCACAGGACCTTTTTTAATATTCGAAAAGAAACACCTCACTTTGTTTTTTAAAACTGCCGACAGTATCAATATTTTTGGACTTGCCATCAACTATAAGCAGACTGGTAATTTGAGATTGAGTAATCTTTTACCTTATTTTGATTAAGAATATCAATACAGAAATCAACAAGCATATGACAAGCCAATGTCCAATGCTTTATGAAAAACAAGTTCAAATGAAGTGGAACTACTTTAGCCAAGAAAACAACATACAGCTGTTTCAGAGTAGAGATATTGGTAAGCCAAGTGAAAACTGATATATGGAACTTGATAAAAGAAGAACGAATTCCAAAATTGAAACCCACAAATAGAATCCGAAGAAATCACGTGGTAAATAATGACCTGTTTTATCCTTAAGGCTCGTTTTATCCTTAAGGCTCAATAGACATCCTTGATAAGATAATCTCACCACAGCTTTCACAGTCCATATACTCCCTGTGACACCCACAAAGTATAGATTACCAAGTGAAAACATATTAACTGTGATAATATGTCACAGCCAATTGCAGATTGATGCTCCACGTGAAACGGAAAAAATTTGGGCTTCCCTACTTTGACAAATATCCATATGGGAAAAAAATTCTTATTCTTACATATAATAAGAATGACAAGAATCTAGTAGTAACTATAACACAGGAAGTAGCAGACAATCAGAAAAATAAAAAGTGAGCTAAACCAAGTTGTCAAGAATTCATTGGCTCAGGCAGAAAGTTGGGCTCTAGTCTAGAATCTCGTATGCTTCAATACCATGCTCCTGCTACAAAATACCAAAATTCCAACACTCCCATAACATACCATAAAAAAAAATATAGATATCATAAAATAAAGGGTTGTATCCCAATGTTGGAAGAATAGTATGTTAACCTCTGTTTTCACAGGCCACCACTTTCATAGGTTGTCTCCGTCTCCCCTATAACACTCACTGAAAAATCAAAAGAATTCAAAATTGCCAAGCATCAAACACTCTGAAATGTAAATTGTCTTTCTTAGTATAAATGACCGAATTAAAGAATACATGCTTTGTATAGTATACAACACAACCTCTGAAGACATGATGTTAATGGACACAAACTTCCAGCCAATTTGCAAGTACTTGTACCCAATATGAAACATGACAGTTTGAGCTTCCACCTAATACCAAAGGAGCTATTCGGCCTACATCATAAACCAGAAATAACAACAGAACCCAGGGAACAGATTGTCAAAACATACCTAACCAAGTTGTCCAAATTAAATCCTAGAAAACATATACCAATTTATTACATCTTGTGCCTTACTAAGAGAAATCAAATCCCTGTGACGCCCACACAGAACTCGTGAAAGAATCAAGTAAACTAATTGTGAAGAATTCAATCAGAGGAGAGATCACCACATGAAAGAACAACAACAGCAGCAAATTGCAGATTCTGGTGCTCCAATTGCTGATCCAATTGCAGATTCTGTGAGTGACACTCATTTGGGAAAGAAAATTCTTATAACAAGGCAAATACCCGTAACAATAGAATGCCAAACCAAGTTGTCCAAAATTCCTCAACCTCCCTAAGATGTTAAGATGCAAAAGAGCAATCATTTAAAACCCTAACAAAATAATAGTATACAGTAACTTCCATAGGTCAAAACTAACAAAAAAAAACAAATCAAACCTAAGAATCAAGAAATAAAAAAATCAACAGCCATGAATGCAGATCAAACAAGAGGAAAATAGAACTAGAAGAAAGTGTGTATATCCTGCAACACCAATCAATAAATAAATATTGAAAATAAAAAGAATTTAATAAAGATCACCAAATCAGAAATCAAAACGCTAAGCTCCATGCTATGAAAAAGGTTATTAGTTGGACAACCACACGGCAGAAAAACAAGTTCTGAAATCAATTTGTATGCATTGCAATCGAAGGCCAGAAATAAAAAATATAGTATAGAATGACCCTTTGAAAAGTTTTATTTAGCTATCTGGAGTTATTTTATGTTCTTGTTGTATCAAAACATTCTAGAAATCCACCAAACTTCTCAGCTGACAGAGAAACCAATAAATTCATCTCTTAATTGTTAAATTTAAGTTGTAGAAACAATTCTAGCACAACAATCTGTAAGAGCATCGAAACAATTCTAAATATGTTTGTGTGAACAAAAACAAGTAGCTTTAGAATCAAGAAATCAAAAGCACATCCTCTCCTGCAAAATCCAAAGAGGATAAAAAGTCAAGAAATCAAAAATCATATTCTCTCCTGCAACTTAAAAAGAGTAAATAACAAACCAAGAAATATTTTTTGTCTAGTAATCAAGAAATATTTTGTCTACAGAAAGAATCTATGAAGAAACCCAAATTAAAAGTCGAGGCTCCAATGCAATGAAGGTTATCAATCAGAAAAACTGCTCTGCAGAAAAGATGTGTTCACAGTTCATTTGGAATGTCTTGAAATCAAAGCAAAGAAATAAAAATTAACAAAATAGCGAATCATGAAAAATTGGATTTATCTGGGGAAACACAAACTTCAACAACAGCTTGTAAAAGATCAAAAAAACAACTTCAAGAAAGATATGCTCTCAGAATCGAAAACAAAAATAATTTAATAGCGATCACCGAATCAAAAACCTAGACTGCTCCATGCTTTGTGTATAATCATAGCCTCACTGCAAAATGGATAAACATATCTCTTAATTATCAAATAAAAACCGTGTCATGTAAACCTATCAAGACGCATTGCAACACCATTAAAAAAACACGATCAGCAATCTAAGAAAACCTATCAAGACGCAAAGCAAATCCATTGAGAAAACACAATCTGAGAAATCGTATCATTTATCAAGAGGCAACGCAAATCAATGGAAAAAATAATTGTTATCCATTTTTATCCAAATTTTCATCATCATCAACCCCAAATCAAGAATCCCAAATTGCTGCAAGAATCCCAAATTGCTGCAATGAAGAATTATATCAAAAAACGTTCTCAATGTTTACGATTCGAAAAGCATATCAATAATCAAATCCCTAACAATCTTCCTCTTGAAAAGCAAACTATGAATTCGAGCCATCAGGATGCAAACAAATCCGAGCAACAAACGGACGAAAGATATAACAATACTATTTTTGGTATTTTTGAATGAGGTAGAGGAGGTTTATATAGAAGGACGGATCAGAATTAACGGCTGCGATTTCGCGGATGGAGGAAAATTTGACGGTTATGATGCAATTAAAATAAAATTGTTACACGTTTTTCTTTAAAATAAGGCGGTGTAAAACGCTGTATAAGATAAGATATAGATGGATTTATAATTTATATCATATCATTTTAATTTGTATATCAAATATTATCATTTAAATTCTTTTCAATCTTAATGGTTAAAGGTACTGTATTCATGGTGTAAAATTCTTTTACACTAAGATTTTGTCATTCCGTTATATCATATTAATATTTTAAAAATTAAAACATGATTTAGCAAAACATATAACAGTTATTGATTAACTAATTTACACTATCAATTCATATTTTTAATTTCTCTATTTTTATTATCTTAATCTTATTTTAAATATTAGTCTTATTTTAAATATTTTTATAACAAAAGTAAAGGTCATTAAGAAACTCACATAAAAAGATTTATATTAAAAATAAATATATATTTTAAATTTTGTTATAATAAAATTATATATATTTTTAAATTTTAACTCTTAACTTAAATCTTAAAGATATAAGTTAGAATTATCTTTAAAATTTTAATTATATAAATTTCAATTATAAGGTAAATTTATTTATTAAAATAATTTTATTAATAATAATTATTAGAGTGGTTTGTATGTTGGGCCACTCACAAGATCTAACAAGCTAAAGTCAATAACATAATAACAGAAATAAAATATAGATTAAATAGTTTCATTTTTCTCTGTAAATAAGTAAATCCATACATGAGAGTTTTACTTGTTGTCCAGATCAACCTGATAGTTAATTGTGATTCACGCTTTCAGCTGTTAATCGCTTATCCTATTTAATAAGGAAAGTGCGTCATTTTTCAAGTATTCAAATCATTTCTCATTCATATGGCACTTTTCTTTCTCATAATAACTTGAGTGTTTGAGTGTTAACCTTGCAAGTCAGCCCCTTCTTCACCACATCAGAAGCATCAAAATCACTGCAACAAGCTTTGCACCCTCATTTACCAAACAACTATGGATCTGTTGGTGAGAAAATAGACAATAAACAGTCTAGAGACTGGGGGTTTTAATAAACCCGATCCAATTAAAAAATTCCTTTGAAAAATAGTTTGAAAAACTTTTATAAGAGTTTCTAAAATAAAACTCATTTTGCATGGCATAAGCAAATTTTAGCGTAAAAGAGATTGTGCTTATTGATTGGAATTGATATGCAACAACTCAAACAGTTCAATGCACATATAAGATTGATACGCAATTATGACCAAAATGTATAAATTAGTGTTCGCCGTGTTTTTCGATAAGCAACCGCTGATCTTCCAAAAAGGGTAAAATTTTGGTTACTCGCAGGATCGATCAGTTTGATCCTAAGACATATGCTAATTTTTTACGTTGATTCGACATAAATGCTAATATAAATAAAGAACACATGTTCGACTGAGAAAGATTGAGATTTGAGATGAGTTTGAGTGTAGAAAGTAAATAGAAAAGGGGTTAGGAAGAGTTTAAGTGCAGGAATCTGATAAAAAGTTCAAGTAAAGTGCAAGGAAAAATACATGTTTGCAAGCAAGATAAAAAGGCAAGGAATTAAAAGAGAAATATAAAAGACTTTGATTATAAAATGTGGTGTTTCAAACGTACATTTTCAGTATTCTTTCTCACGTAGTGGGTACTCGAATAGTATTGAATGACTTGTACAGTTAGTTGAACACCCGGAAATCTACATAAACTTCCTATATTTATACTAAAACTAGGTAACCGTCGAGGAGTTGCTTTGCTCTAGGATGAGGACAAGTGTCTTCTGCATGTGCTTCGACCTCTATCTTCATGCCACGTTACTTTCCTCAACTGCTAAGCGAACTACTTTTCCCTCCTTTCTTCATATACAAAATCACTTGTTGTTGATACGAGGTTTCCTTTTAGTCGAAGGCCCTGGAGCCCTTTCAGTCGAAGGCCGTACGAACCTTTTGGTCGAAGATTAATTTTAACTTAGAAATTTCTCTAAGTATTTTTCCAATATGTCGAAGTATTTCCAGCTTAGATATGTTCAATCTATTTTTGGCCCATAAGACCAATTTGTTGTGGGTGTCGAATTTAGGAGCTAACAAATTGCCCCCCAAGAATGTCAATTTCGACGCAAGAAGAAATGATCATTCTTTGAGATTCTCATTCGACATATGTCTTCTTTTTTACCACATAAATCACTCGTGCACTTTTCGCCTTCTACCAACCACTGCTGGTATTAGAGTCATCATTACCTTTTTCCCAACACGTTACTGTCAATCAGCCGTTACCACACTTCCATGATGGCCATTATCCCTACAACCTAGAAAAGTATGGAAAACGTTTCCATTACTTGTATGATAACTGCCTCAATGTTCGCCACGTACCCCACTAACACTGCAACATTAAATGGTCTTGAGGGAAAACATTCTTCCCTGAACACTATAAATATCCACGAATTCTTTCTTTGGAATTTTTTACAACTCCTAATACTCTTTATTTCATTGCAAAGAAAAGTCTTAAGAACTTCATCTTCTTCGTTCTTTCACTACCTTCAACCATGGCTTTCCTTTCAAACGCACCAAACAATCCCAAAACTAAGAATGTTTCTGACCTACAAAGACAACCATAGGTTTTTTCCACTGGCCATGTTCCTGTTTCGACTGGGGAGTGAAGGGTTGTTTCTGAACCCATGACCAGAGAATGGCGTGAAGCTTATGACTCTCAGTTACTCATTCCCGTTAAGTATTATGAGCACATGTATGCCATGTCTGGCCCACTTTCTACATGCTTCGAGAACCCAAAACAAGATAATACCTTCTTCCCAACTCACCCTAAGCTCAAGCCTATAGGTTGCATGAAGAAACCCATGAATGATCCTGAGGATGCAACCCCTGCTAACCAACAACATTCTCAAACGAAGGAAGACATCAACCTTCAGTTCATGAACAAGGGAAATAGGATCTTTCGATCTTGCCCTAGTATTACTTCAGAATACTCAGAATGGATGAGTAAGATGGAAAAAGTACAGGCCCAAATCTGGAAGGATATGGGGATTTATGACTTGATCATGTTGTCTAAGACTGGGTTATCTTATTTCCCTCTCATGTTGGTATCTTCGCTGTATTTCTGGGACGGTACGCATTTCACCTTCCATTTTCCCAGTGGAATGGTAACCCCAACTCTTTTCGATATAGTCGCCATTACTGGTCTTCGACCAACTGGTGACTATTTCGACCCTGAGGATTTGTCTGAAGATGCCATCGGGTTTTCGGCCATGAAACCCACATACACCATATTCATCAACCATTTTCACGACAAATCTAGTAGCATTGTCTCTGAAGTGGAACACATAGCTTTCCTAGCTTTGTGGTTATCTCACTTCATTTTCTGCACTAAGTCACTTCAAGTGACTAAGA